CCATTCTTTACCTCTTCAGCAGTGCAGAAAATTGGCACTTAATGTGCCCTGTGAGGCTGCGTGGTAGCAGCTTAATTGACCCTGGTTGCATCCCCCTGCCCACAGCGAGCTCAGCCTTGGGCCACCTTCATTTCCCATCCCCTCCTTTGTTTTCCTGCCCTTCCCAAGGTGCTGCTGGTGTTTGGCTCCAGGTGAGGCTCTTCATTTCCCACCTCCTCCTTTGTTTTCCTGCCCTTCCCAGGCTGCTGCTGGTGTTTGGCTCCAGGTGAGGCTCGTAGAGGAGCCCAGGCTGCCCAGAGAGCTGCAGGAATCCCTCCTGGCTTCCCACCCAGGGAAATCCGCCTTCCTGCAGCTCTCCATCCTCCTCTCCTCCCTCATCCTCGTGCCTTCCCCAGCTGGTCAGCAGGTTGCTCCAAGCCCTGCACATCCCAACATCCCACCTTTGGGATGTGGCAGGGCTGTGCTGCAGCTCTGGGAGCTTCTCCAGGCACTGCAAACCAGTCAGAAACCTGAGCTGCTGCTGCTTGCAGCCCTGACCTTGCCAGTTGTTTTCCAAGAGCTGGATGGGTGAAAGCCAGAGCAGTGGGGACCAAGTGGCACACTGACCAAAAAAGCTGATGATAAAAGCAGACCTGTAGCAATCACCCAGATGTGGCCTCAGCTCAGCTCCAGTTCCCTTATTGCATCCTTTGGGACAGAGACTGCTGCAGGAAGACCTGAAATAATTGGTATTCAGAGCATCATAAAACTCCACGTGAGGCTGACACTCCAGGCAGGACTGCATTATGGCAGATGTCTAGCAGGGGAATAAGACTTTCCAGGTGAATGAAGGAAATGCACGCAGCCATTGTTTTGGGGTGTTCCTGAGCGCTGCTGAGGAGAAGGGGCTGCTCACTGTGCTCACTGTGCTCACTGTGCTCACTGTGCTCTGTCATGGGAGAGTGGAGCGCTGCCACCAAGGCTGTGCCCAGCTGCTGCTCTGGCACTCAGCCAGCAGGAGCCTCCTCACCCCCGGGGCTCTGGGGGACAGCAGGGCCACAGCAGCAGCAGCAGCAGCTCCTGAAGATGTCCCTGCAGGCCCCTGTGGAGTTCCCTGGGCTTGGGTGCAGGTTCCCAGGGCAGGGCTAAGGCAGCACCTCCGAGGCTGCGTGCCTGGGATGCTCTGTTAACCAGGAGGGTTTCCTCTGACTGAATATCTCACCACTCAATTTGTGTTGGACCATGGAGTCCATCCAACACTTGCAATACAATGAGTTAGTATCTGCTGCTCTGGTTTTGCATCCTGGCCAGCTGGGAGCACGCTGGGACCAGGCTCCAGCACAAAGAACAATGGGAAGGCTCAGCAAGGGGCTCCAGAGGCAAGACCCAGCCTCGGTGACAGCACTGGGGCTGCTCCCAGCCCTCTGATTGTGCACCAGGAGAGCATCACAGCCTCCAGAGCCTCCTTTTAACTCTGCAGCTCGTCCCCTCACTGGCCCTTCCTGCTCTTTCAGGCTCTGGGCTCTGTGTGCCAAATGGGATGCTGGGGAAGGCGCTGCTGCCTGGATGGGCTCCAGCTGCAATGCAACGAATCCATTTTTATAGCTGGGAGCAGGTGTCTCGTGCGTGGCCAGCAGCTCTTCTAAAGATCACTCTTTTCAGTTGGCCACAAGCACTGGAGGGGTGCAGAGGCACTGGGCAGCACTCAGTGCCCTCCAGCTCCAGAAATGCCCCGTGGGGCCAGGGTTCTGCTGCATGAGAGCAGGAAGGGCTCTGGGTGACTGTTGGCATCCCTGGCCAGGGTCTCAGGACCTGCACCTCACTCCTGGGCTTCAGAGCCACAGGGTGTCCCCCTGATTTTTTAAGATTTTCTAAGCCTTCTGATGTTTACATTCTTGTAGACACATGTTTACATTCTTATTTACAGAAAGTGTGTGAGAACTTTCTGTAAATAACTCATTGGTTTGCATTCTTTTATGGGGGAAGAGAAATTTGATGGGCTGTTGGTTTGCCCAGTGTCATTGGAGAGGTGGCACTGTCACCCTCCAATCCACTGCCACTTTTGGAAATCTATAAATGTTGGAATCAGGAAATGAACTTCCCTTCTTTTTACCTTGCAGTTCCAGTGTCCAGGTTGTTTTATTTCGTGTCCTATAGCAACACCCATGTTGTCCTGAGTTTTTAAGATTTTCTAAGCCTTCTGATGTTCACATTCTTGTAACGAATTTTGGCACACACTTTCTGTAAATAACTCATTGTTTTGCATTCTTTTATGGGGGAAGAGAAATTTGATGGGCTGTTGGTTTGTCCAGTGTCATTGGAGAGGTGGCGCTGTCACCCTCCAATCCACTGCCACTTTTGGAAATCTATGAATGTTGGAGTCAGAAATTTAAAAACTCTCATTTAACCTTGAAAGAGCAGCGTGTCCACGTTGTGTTATTTCATGTCCTATAGTGACAACAGTGACCAGTCCTGGGGCTGTGCAGCCCCCCCAGGGCTTCATGGGCTGCCCTGTGTGTGCCTAAAATGAAGAACACAGCCTTGAGGACATGGAGAAATTCCTTTTTTGCTTGTACTTTCCCCCATTTCCTGTGCCTGGCAAGGGCCAGTACCTGTGGGGAAGAAAAGAAAAGGATCCACTGTTGGAGCAGGAGATAGGAAAGGCCAAAGGGTTTGTTTTCCATCCTCAGACCACAGCAATGCAGCAAGTGGAGCTCAGTCAAGAAACCCCATCCAAACCCACAGCTCTTGAAGCTGCTCTGGGCAAACAAAACCTCAAAGGGCCCTCTGTCCTTGCCCATCCCATTCCCGCTCTGGAAGGAGAAATCACCCAGGGCTGCAGCACTGGGGACCCTCAGCCGAGCCACAGCAGGACTGGGGCACAGCCCCATCCCAAAGCAGCACCTGGAGGAGCTGCAGCCACACACCCTGAAGGGAGCAGGTCCTGGGCAGCTCAGAGACCCCAGGAAAGAGCCCCCAGCCCAGGAGCTTCACTGCAGCAGCTCCCAACGAGCCTGGACTCATTGGCCCTGCTGAGACAAAGAGCCATTGCTGAATTCAGCTGCCCTGGGTATTTTTTTCCCTCTTCGATGAATCACCTGCTAAAAATATTATAAATGGAGTCGCTGGCCAGACCTTTCACTTCTCTGGAAGCAAAAATATTTATTTTACTCAGGCCGTGCCTGTGTTTTAGCAGAACTTTATGATCAATTTTGGAGGAATGTGCCATGCTGTATATTCAAATTACAACTTTTTTTTGGCTCGCAGCGTAAGTTTAAAATGTCTTGTTTAAGACACAACTGTCAAGCTGCCAGAAAAATGCGTTTTCAGCTGTTTTCCTCCCAAAAGCAGCAGTTTTGCTCCATTGATGGTTATTGTCAGCCCAGGTGTGAGCCTGTTCCAGGGTTTGGTGATCAAGGGGTGCAGGCTGGACTGGTTTAGACTGGGAGCTTCCACTCCCACGGAAAAACCAGCACTCAGTTCCCAGTATCACCATAAAGTCAGGTCCCAGGGAGCTCTGGAGCTGCCTGGCTGGTGGGGACAGACCCATTCCCATTGAGCAAAGCTGCATTTTTGGGAACTGGAGTGGGACTTTCTCCTGCCCAGGCTCCAGGCGGGTGCAAACCCAATGCAGATGATCAGAGAGGCGCCAGCACAATGAGATCCTTGAGGAGAGAATCATCACAGAGCCAAAGGAGCTTTGCCCTGGGAGCACCTTCCTCCTCCTGAGGAGCCTGGAGCCAGGCTCTGTGCCCCTGGGCACTGGGACCCTGCCCCACCAGCTCCTGTTGCTCTTGCTCCTGTGCCAGGCGCACCTTCCCCACAAACCCTCATTTGAATTTAGGAAGGAAATGAAGGGAAATTTCTTTTTCTTGCTTCAGGGCACGGAGAGAATAATGGGATCTTTATTCCCCGGTAATTAAGTTGATTTTTTTGTGGGTTTAATTTACACTCCCGGCCTCCCCTGCAAAGTGGGAACGTGGCTGTGGGTGGGCATCAGCACCAGGGCATCCCTGAGTGCAGGAGCTGGGGGCCCAGAACCAGCACTTGGGATCCTCCTCATGCCAGCTTGTTGGGAAGGATGAGAGTTTGACAGGAAAGTCTCACAGATTTGTGTGCTTGGCAGAAAGATTTTTAAATGCTGAGTCTGATGAAGGAATAGAGATGGAAGCAAGTTTTGATATGGAAGAAAAGAATTGCTGAGCCAGTCTCACTGGATAACTAAAGAAGCAAAACTTGTGTTAGTTAGAAGGGGTTTTTGTGACTTAGAGCAAAGGATAAACCCACCCCAAACAAGAAGATGTTTTTACCAAGCAGAAAAATCCACAGCAACACCTGCTGACCCCTTCCTTCCTCTTATCCTGTCCAAGGGGATGATAATAATTCAGACACCTTAAAATCCACCATCTTGTTCTACAAGTCACAATATTAAACCTAGTTTCAATATCAGCAGTGAGTTTCCTTGGAAATGGTGAAGAAAACAGCAGCATTAATTAAAGGCACAGCCTTTTGTGTTCATTCCTCACTAGCTGTCTTTTTTTCCACTCTCCTCCTGTACACTTGATCTGTTCAAAGCTGAGGAAATGTTACCCACAGCTTTACTTTAATAGCAACCAACTTCCAGTGCCTGCTTAGTCACTGGGGAATTTCTTGGATTTTATGTTTTCTGAGAAAACAGAACCACCATTGCCTTGGTCAAAATTCAGACTAATGCTCACCAATGTTTTATACTTGTGGTTGGAGGTGAAATTCCACTCATAACTTTTTGACAGTGCTGTGGCCTTTTGTACATATACAGGGCTCTGAGCACCCTGCTGGAGCTGAAGATGTCCCTGCCCATGGCAGGGGATTGGACTAAATGGACTTTAAAGGCCGTTTCCAGCCCCAAACACCCTGTGATTCTATGAATTCTCGTTCAGGGCTGCTCCACATCCCCACACAAGTGTCAGTCAGATGCAGATGAAGAGCCCATCCTGCAGAACAGGCTCAGGAAGTTTCTGTCCTCAGCTGAAACCCCTTTGGTGTGGAAGAGCCTGGAACTTATTACAAATCGCTTAAGCAACTTTGGCTCACTCGTGCTGATTAAATTGCTTCCCTGACTATTCCAGAGGCTCAAAACCACCAGCAGCTCCCAGGCTCGCTGTGCAAAATTAATTAAAGCAGAGGATAACTTGGCAAGGACAAGAAAAGAAAGTCTCATAGTAAGGAACAAGGCCAGTGTGGGGATGTTTGCTGGAGCACGTGCCTGTGGGTGCTGGTAGGTGTTTCAGATCCAGCCTCGCTCAGGGAGAGACCTCAGCTCACACGTAGCACCACCCTCAGCCCTCAGTGCTTCGCCAAATCTGGGCATAAAAATAAACTTGGAAGTTGAGTGCAGAATCCCAGCACAAAGGCAGGGACCCCTCGGTTTCCATAGGAAGCAGAATTAATAGCTTGGCAGAAGGGGCGCGTTTCCATTTTTGTACAAGAATTTCCTCCGCCTCCTGCAGGAAAAAAAAAAAAATAAAAATGTTGTGTAAGAAACACGGATTCAGACATTTCTCCAGAACCTGGCAGCAACTCCGAGGCATCCCAGGAGGTGCCTGCAGGACTTCCAGGTTTCCAACAAAAACCAAGTGGGCCATCACTGCTCCCTTCCTTGAAAGCAGCAGCAAGGCAAGCACAGAGAGGCCCCTGGCACCTTGAGCTGCACAAGGGGAAATGGGCTCCAGGGTTTTTCACATGCTCAGCTCATCCCCTGGAGGTGCCTTTTAGCCCCCTGTGAGGAGGGGAGGGGGCTCCATGATAAAGCAAGAGCCCTGGCAGCAGGACAGAACCGAGCCTGAGCCCGACCTTGTCCCCCCTCCCCTTCCCCAGCGTTATCTGAAACCACAGCCCTGACTGGCTGCACTTCTCATCCATCTGCAAAAGCGCATTAAGGAGGGAGAGAAAGGTTGGCAGCTGACCACGAAGCAAATCCCCAGAGAGGTCCTTACCTGACTCCAACCAGATGCTGTTTATCAGCCCGAGCGTTCGCTACATGCCCGATGTGACGGAGACAGCAGAAATACAAGAAATGCTTGTTATGCTCAGGGCTTCGGGGGGTTTTCATCCTCAGGCCGGATATACAAGTTCCAGGAGAGGAATATGCATCCCTGGAGTCCTGGGCTGAATCTGGAATTCATATACTCTGTAAATGTACTTTATTTCATACAGGAATCAAGAAGGGGTTTGGAATTATTGCACCGGGGAGTTTGATTGCGTAGTTACAGCGTGGAATTAAGGGATGGCTGCAGATCTGTAGGGCAGCTCCAGCCCCATGGAAAGGGCAGGAGGGTGTGTTCTGGCTGCACTGCTCTGTCCCTGTTCTCCAACCACTGCCCTACACGTGCTGAAGCCTGAGAGAAGCTTCCAGTGGGGTCTGCCCTAGCCCTGCATGTTTCCCACCCCAGATCTCCCTTTGGATTTAGCCAGCAAAGCCCATCAGGCCAGGAAGAGGCACCACGGTGACAGTGCAGGGTCCCAGAGCCCAAGGAAGCCTCTCAGAGCAGCACAAGAACAGGGCCAGGCTGGGAGGTGGGGAGGATGTGCTGCCAAAACCAGGGCAGCAGTAACACGGAACAGCCATCCAGCCCAAGAAAAGGCAGGGAAAACAAGGCCAGGACTCCCTGAGAGATGGCTGTATCCTTGTGCAAGCACATACCTGTATGTTTATGCAGTTCTACGTGTGCCTTTCATGTGTTCCAGCCTGGCTTTAAGGATCTAACACGTTTTTGCTGCACCACCGTGCTTCATCTGACACCTGCAAGGTGCATCTGTCCCTGGAAATGCCTCATCCTCACCTGTGTCCCCCTGGCAGCTCTGCAGAGCGTGGTGCCAGCAGCTCACAGGGCTCTGGGCACCTGCAAGGCTCTGCCTGTGGAAGTAAATGCCCAGCTCTGAGAGCCTTGGGCTGGGCTGCTACAGTCACAAAGAGCTTTTATAGCCTGGAGGGACCTGATTGCTAATTAACAGCTCATTAATGTGAGATTAACATCTGGAGCAGCCCTGGAGGAGCCCCAGAGCCAGGGGGCAGCCAGGGGGCACCCTGGGGGCTTTTCTCCCCACCCTGGGCTGGGTGTTAGACTGTCCCAGGTGCTCCTGCAGAGCTGAGCACAGGGAGGGCACCCTGCCTGCTCCCTCCTTTGCTTTCCCAAGCACATCTGCAGGGAGGAACCATCTCCCTAACCCTGCTTTGGGACCCTTGGGGATTATCAGCAAAAGGCATTTTTTTGGAAAGGCTGTGCCGTGAAATTTGGTGTAGGGAAAGTGTCACATCCCAGGAGATGCCCTGGCAGGGCCAACTCCTCAGGAAGGTGCTGAGGAAGTGGGTGAGGAACACTTTGCTGCATCAGTGTCTCCCACTCCAGCAGCTGCTGCATAAATCACGTTGACTTCAGAACCTGCTGGCAAAACATAAAGCAGTCTCCGTGCTCCAGCCACCACAAGGGTATTAATCAGGCTAAAAATATAAAAACAACACGAAAAACACCATCTAGGGGGGTGTGCGGCATCAGCCGCTCGCTCCGGGAGCTTGGCCAAGTGCTCATATCTCCACTCTCATAAATACACCAGGAAAACACATTATCTCTGCAGTGCTCTTGGAGCAGGGAGAGCTCAGAGCAGCCCATGGCACCTGCTGCATTTTAATGATCCTTCATCATCACCTGTAGGGAAACTGGTACCTGTCACTGTCACATTTTCTGGAAAAATCTCTTTGCCCAGGATTTTTCTCCTGGGAAGCTGAGAAGCCTCAGAGAAAAATGAAAACAATAATAAAATAATAAAATAATAACTGAATTATTTAAATAAGTGTCCTGCAGCACTCTGACCTTCCCACTGCAGCCCTGGCATCAGCAGAGTGAGGATCAGCAGTGCCAGCAGAGCATTCACAAAAATCCTCCCATTCTGGAGCACCAGAAAATGACCACACATCCATGTCCTCAGCTGTAGGGAAAGTGAGATTTAAATAACTGAATTATTTAAATTACTGTCCTGCAGTGCCCCGACCTTCCTACCATGGCTCTGGCAAAGCTGGCATCAGCAGAGTGAGGATCAGCAGTGCCAGCAGAGCATTCACACAAATCCTCCTGTTCTGGAGCACCAGAAAATGACCACACATCCATGTCCTGGACCTGTAGGGAAAGTGAGATTTAAATAACTGAATTATTTAAATAACTGAATTATTTAAATGACTGTCCTGCAGCACCTTGACGTTCCCACTGCAGCCCTGGCATCAGCAGAGTGAGGATCAGCAGGGCCAGCAGAGCATTCACACAAATCCTCCTGTTCTGGAGCACCAGAACATGACCACACATCCATGTCCTGGAGCAGCAGGCACTGGGATGTGGGATTGGCCTGGCTGGGGTGACAGATGCACCCTGGTAAAAAACACAAAGAAAGGTTTTATCGTGTTCAGGCAGCCCAAAGAACAGAGCTGATGTAGAAAACACGCCCTCTGCATTGCTCTCCATTGCCCATAAAGCCATAAACCCCTTTCAAACGCTCCATCCCCCTAACTTTTGGATGTCATTAAACGCTTTATTAATTTACTCCAAATGTCTTCGCTCATATTCCAGCACGGCTAACCTCATCAAAAGGAGACAGCACAGTGCTTAGGCAGCACTTCTGCTCTTCAAAGCCTGTTACTGAGATTAATTGCTTCTCCCGAGTCCTCTGTGAAGGGGGAACATGAGGATAGCTGTTATGAGTGCTGGGTGTGAGGGGGGAAGTGAGATCCAAAGTAAAAGCAGAGTTCCAAGGCATCCCAGCATTGGCTGGATGGGATGGGCTGTGCAGGCTGCAGGGGACGCCCCCAGGACTGGTGCTGGCTGTTCCTGCAGCTCATCAGGAGAAGGGAAAGCCCAGCTGGGCACTGTGGTGCCACTGCAGAGCTGAGTCCCGAGGTCCTGGCATCTCCCACCTCCAAAAATCCTCCCTTGGGCGAGAGCTGAGCGTGTCCTCAGGCTCCCCACTGCTCTTCCCTAACCTCTGCTGCCTGCCAAGAGCCTCTGCAGGCAGAGCTCCCTCCTCCATGCCAATTTATCCTGTGATGTCACCAATCCCAGTCCATCCTGCCATCACCAGTGCCATCATCAGCGCATCCCCACATCCCTGGGGTGGCAGTGGGGCTGGGCAGGGAGGACCCACAGCACCAGCCATGCCCTGCCCCACAGCACAGCTCAAGGTCTCAATGGCACTAAGGAAGGGCTGCACAGCCTCCCAAAACCTTCCTGGCTGCCCCCCAGCCTGGCTCCCACTGATACCTGTCACCATCATATTTTCTGGAAAAATCCCCTTGCTCAGGATTCTTCTCCAGGGAAGCTGAGAAGCCTCAGAGAAAAATGAAAACAATAATGATCTGATTTGCTTCTCCTGTGTTTTGCTGCTTTGGAATGTGGTTTGGACATTGTTTACCAACAGGTGATTGTTTCATTAAATTTCATGTGAATTGTTTTTGACTTATTGGCCAATCAGGGGCCAAGCTGTGTCAGGACTCTGGAAAGTCACAAGTTTTCATTAGTATCTTTTTAGCCTTCTGTCTGTATAATTTCTGTATTCTTTAGTACAGTTTAGTATACTTTAGTATAATATACTTTACTAAAGAATGCTATAGTATAGGATTCTTTAATGTAACATAGTATCTTATATATAAATATATATATTATATCTTAATATAACATAGTATCAGCCTTCATTATTATCTTTGTAGCCTTCTGTCTGTATCCTTTCTGTATTTTCAGTATAGTATACTTTAGTATAGTATACTGAAACATAGTGTCTTATATATATCTTATATCTTATATCTTAATATATCTTATATCTTAATATAACATCTATATATATCTATATATCTATATATATCTTATATCTTAATATAACATAGTATATTCATTATTATCTTTGTAGCCTTCTGTCTGTATCCTTTCTGTATTTTCAGTATAGTATACTGTAGTATAATATACTTAACTAAAGAATGCTATATTATAACATTCTTTAATATAACATCGTATCTTATATATACCTTATATCTTAATATAACATAGTATCAGCCTTCATTAGTATCTTTCTAACCTTCTGTCTGTATCCTTTCTGTATTTTCAGTACAGTATACTTTAGTATAGTATACTTTAGTATAGTATACTTTAGTGTAATATACTTTACTGAAGAATGCTACAGTATAACATCCTTTAATATAACATAGTATCTTATATATAGCTAATATCTTAATATAACATAGTATCTTATCTTATATCTTAATATAACATAGTATGAGCCTTCATTAGTATCTTTCTAACCTTCTGTCTGTATCCTTTGTGTATTTTCAGTACAGTATTTTCTGTATTTTCAGTATAGTATATGTTAGTATAGTATATTTTAGTACAGTATACTGAAGTATACTATACTTCAGTATTCTTTAATATAACATAGTATCTTATATATACCTTTTATCTTAACATAACATAGTATCAGCCTTCTAAGAACACGGAGTCCGGTTCATCGTTTCCTTCCTGCCACGGGGCACCTCCCAAACCCAACAGGTACCTGCGGAGGGAGGATCCTGCGGGGAGGAGCGGCGGTGCCAGATGCGCTCCTCGCCGAGGCCGCCCCGGGAACATCTGCTCCGCGTTTTGGTTTCCATCGCCGAGCTCACCACATCCCCCCCGGCCGGCTGGAGGCGAGGAGCAGAACATCTGGAAGCAATCGCGGCTGTCACGCTTCAAGGAGATACGGCACCGCAGAGAGGAGAGAACCCGATCCCGCGCCCCAGCAGCCTCCTCCCGCCCGCAGCCCGGCAGATGAGCACAGAGCCGGCATCCTGCCCCGGGCTGGCTCCTGCCTGGTCCCCAGCCCCTCCCAGGAAGGGCAGCACCCGCCACCAGCGTGTCACTGGGCAGAGGGACAGGGCTGAGACCCGTGGTGAGCACCCCAGCTCCGTGCCAGGGCAGGGGGAAGCTCCCGAGGGACTTGGCTCTCTATTTTGGGGCTTTTCAGCCTGGAGAAGAGAAGGTTTCAAGGAGATCTTAGAGCTCATTTCAGTACCACAGATGTCCAGAGAAGCTCTGGCTGCCCCATCTCTGCAAGTGTTCAAGGCCAGGTTGGACAGGGCTTGGAAAACCTGGGATGGTGAGAGGTGTGGGGACATGGATGGGCTTTAAGGTCCATCCCAAACCATTTCAGGACTCTGTGATGTCCCTGCTGTGGCCAGGCATCTCCATGAGCCCAGAATGTGTTTGTAAACACCCTGGCACCCCAGCAAACCCTGCACCCCAGCAAATCCTGCACCACATTTGGACAGGGCTTGGAAGACCTGGGGCAGTGGGAGGTGTCCTTGTCTATGGTGGGGATGGGGGGAACTGGATGGGCTTTAAGGTCCATCCTAAACCATTTCAGGATTCTGTGATGTCCCTGCTGTGGCCAGGCATCTCCATGAGCCCAGAACGTGTTTGTAAACACCCTGGCACCCCAGCAAATCCTGCACCACGCTGGTTTGGACAGGGCTTGGAGGACCTGGGATAATGGGAGGTTCCCTGCCCATGGTGGGGATGGGGGGAACTGGAGAGCAACGAGGGCTTGGTGAAAGCCATGAAGAAATAATGAATGTGTTAAAATAGAGGATGTATTTTTGGAAGGCCTGGCACAAGATCTGACCCAGACAGCCACCTGCAAACCTGGCCAGAATCACTTGCCTGGGTTCGATCTGGAGTTCTGCTCAAAGGCTGAGCCATCCCTCACCCTCTGCAGGCAAAGTGCTTGGATGGGCTGGGAGGCACCACTCAGAGCTGCCCCAGCACCCAGGGGAGGCTTCCTGGAGCCCAAGGGACTCCCAGAAGAGCAAGGGGAGCTTGGAAAGGCTCAGAGTCTGTGGAAACAGGCTCTGTACTGTTTGCATGCTGGATCCAGTTACAGGCCAGGCCAATAAAGGAGCTGAATTTAGATTTTACAGCTGAAACAATTGCCCCTGGCGTGCCAAGGACTCTTTGGCAGGGCAGCAGGTGAGGCTGTGGCTGGGCCCTGCAGCCCCCCAGGCTGGGCAGCTCTTGCTGCTCTTTCATTCCCTCCCTTCTGAGAGGGGAACTGCAGTCAGGGGCACACGTGTGGGTGACCCAGGCAAGCCATGGCCAACAGTGCCTTCCTCTCCTATCTCCTGCTCCTTGCTTTTCCCCTGAAAACATTCCTTGGCACGCTGATCCTTTGCTGCCCAGGGTGGGGAGCAGCAGGGCCCTGCCCTCGCCTGGCCATCAGGACAGGCAGGGCTGTGCTGCAGCCAGGCACAGCCTGTCCTCCCTGCAGACACAGGCAGAGCATTAATTAAAGTGAGAGAGAATGGGGCTCAGGTGGTTGATTGAGCTGAGGCTGCAAATCCAGCCCGGGAGTTTCTGCCTGTGGTCATGCACACGACATCTGCTCTGCTAGGATTCCAGAGGTGAGAGCTGAGAGGATGCAGGAATTCCACGGGAGTCCCCATGGCAGCTCTTCAGCCAAGGGACACACCAGGCCAAGCCAGAGCTCCACAGGGACGTGGACATCTCTGGAAATTCCTGCTCCCCTATGGAAGGGCAGCAATGCACCCTGATAATCCTCACCTCGCTCAGCAGAGCTGCACTGCTGCTCAGGGGGGCTCCTCTCCTCTTGGAATGTTGGGGGACACAAGACAGATGATGGACTTTAGACCTGGTTAACATAAGAGATTTGATAGCGAGATGCCTTGTGGCAAAAGCAAACAGAACTTTGAAAATTAGAGCTGGATTGCAAGAAGATTCAATCAAAAGGGTTTACCGGAAAAAGAAAATCCCATTAAACTCTGCAAGCAAGAGATGCTGTTAAATGCACAAGTTTGTGTGTGTGATTTTAACCTAATCATTGTAGTACACATTACTGGTCTCCCTGAAATAGGATATAAGTGTTTGTATCCTCTCAGAAGCTCTGCTGGTCAGAGTGACTCTGAGATGTGTTAGAAAGTCTCTTTTCTCAGCTCAGTGGTTGAAGAAGGAGTCAGAAGTCTTCAGTTCTCATTCTCAAGGTTGTTTATTGGTTTTTATCTATAAAATTCTTTTTCTGGCCTGCTGAGGTCCATTGAGCAGGTCAAACAGAGGCACTTTGGCGGTGTTATATTTTTATATTAAAAACTACATGTACATTATTTACAATAGCTTTTTAATACTTATTACTTATGTTAGACAGTGAGCTTCTACTTTAAACTAATTTAAAAATGCCAACCTCACTTAGAAGATGGAGGCTAGGAAGAAGAAAGAAGAAGGACAGGGCACGCCCAAATTCCTCCATCTTGGGACCTCGAGCTCCCATTCTAAAAACCCCCAAAAAAATCTGGTTTTGACTCCATGACTATTATTCTACTTAAACTCTTTTGACTCGTAACTCTTCATATAAGGGTTGGTAATTGTTTTTTCCAAGGGCTAAATCAAAGGCACAGGGGTCTTGGGCTCTGTGCCAAGGTCTCTGAGCCCCCTGGGCAGGGGCTTGAGTCCTCCAGGGCAGCCAGAGGGATTTCCTGGGTTCCAAGAGTATCCCACAATAAAATGGGATTCTGATCACCGAGTCAGTCTCCATGGCCAACACTCTCCCACCCCTGCAGCAAGGTCACATGAAGCAAATGCAAGTGCTGGGCAGAGCAGTTCAAGGCAGAGCTGATGGGAGGGCGTGTGACACCCAGCGCCAGCTGCTGCAGCTCCCACCTGCACCTCAGTGCTCAGCCACGCACTGCAACCATCACCGGGGCTGTGAGGAGAGCAGCGGCACCAGCAAGGTCCCTCCAGGGCTGGCTATCCCTCCTCTCCCTCCCCAAACATCTGTGCAGATGTTAACAGGCGTGCCACGGCTCGATTTTCGATATGAAAGGCGAAGGGTTAGAGTTGAGCTCTTGGGTAAGCGACACCGAGAAAGTCAAAGTTTAATTGGCATTCCTGGCTGGGATGAAAGCGCGCGGCTGCCGGAGCCGGCACGGGCTGAGCGGGGCCATTGGTCACGGGCTGTAAAGGCCACACACAGGCAGCAAAGGGACAGGGCTGCCCTGCCCAGGGCAGCTGCAGCTCTCTCACATCGGCCTCTCCCTGCCCACGTCCCCCATGAAGGGGCAGCATGTAGGAGCATCAGGGGGTAGGACGGTGGGGATGGATGGAGAGGAGAGATCTCTGCAGCCAGGTGGGGAATTTGGGGTTTATTGCAAAGGGCCAAGGGCAGGGCCCTGCTGGGAGCTGCCAGGCACAGCTCAGAGCAGGACTGAGAGAAGAGAGGGGTAGAGAGGGTGAGAGAGTAAAAAGGCTCCTCAGAAAAACCAAACCAAGTGAAGAAACATCTTTCTTCTTATATTGACAGGGACACACAGGCATAGAGCCCTGGGATCAGACTGGGGCAGCAAGGGTGGCTGTGGCTGTGGGAGGCTGAACCCCCACGCTGCAGGTCATCTTTCAAAGAGCCCTGGATGAGGATTTTTGTTCCCTTCTTCCTTCAATTTCAATGAAACTGCAATTTTTATGCAGAAGAAAAAGCCCTGAGAAAACAATTTTTTGGCATGTTTTTAAAGCAAAAATCCCCTTTTTCTTGGAAAGCAGGCCAAAGCCTAGCCCATATTCCTTGGAAGTGGGCCTTGCTCTACTTGAAAAACATCCCAATTTTTTGATGGAAAATTGGAAAATAGATCCAGGTTGGCTCTAGGAGGACGTGGCGTTGCAGCAAAAACTTTCCATGAAAATTATCTAGAGTCTGAACAGAGCAAAATCCCTCAGAAGTGGAATTTCACCAGCCCAGCCCAGGACCATCCTGGCAGAGGCACTGTGGCATCATCCTGGTAGGATGCTCCAGTGCTGGGATGGTCTTGACAGGGATGCTGTGCCCCCAAAAGCTGCAGTAGCTTCCATTACTGCTCTGAGCACATTGCTGTGGTCTCGAGGAAGTCCAGGTCCCCTCAACCATGGCTTCTTGTTTTTTCCAAACCAATATGATAAAAGAGTCTCCCCCCCACGCCCCAAATCTGGCAGGGCATGTTACCCAATAGGATTTCTATTAAAATGCGATTTTCTTCTGCTTGTAATTTCATTATAAGGCATTTGTGCAGAACATCAACCCCACAGGTATGGGCAGGGGATCAAGAGTAGAGAGCGTGGATTATTCCTAATGGAGGCTGCAAGGAGACGTGAAACAATCAAGGCTGGGCACAACCAGCATCATTTACTGGTCCCTTATTGGAATAATTACCAATATTGTGGATGGGACCTGCCTGAGCTTCTCTGGCCCTTGGTGCTGAACCAAACAGCAGCACTGGGGTGTTTCACCCCACAGACACTTTGGGCTGCCTGGGTGTGTGGTGTTTCACCCCACAGACACTTTGGGCTGCCTGGGTGTGTGGTGTTTCACCCCACAGACACTTTTGCCTGCCTGGGTGTGTGGTGTTTCACCCCACAGACACTTTGGGCTGCCTGGGTGTGTGGTGTTTCACCCCACAGACACTTTGGGCTGCCTGGGTGTGTGGTGTTTCACCCCACAGACACTTTGGGCTGCCTGGGTGTGTGGTGTTTCACCCACAGACACTTTGGGCTGCCTGGGTGTGTGGTGTTTCACCCCACAGACACTTTGGGCTGCCTGGGTGCTGCAGCTGGGCCCTGCAGACAAGTCCAGGCCTGCAGGAGCTCTGGTGCTGCTGGGATGGAGCTTCCCCCCATACCAGGGGCTGCCCCTCAGGTTTCCCTCTGTGGAGAAGCTTTCAGGCCATGGTGAAGGAAAGGAGTCGGTTCTGAGGGAGGGTTTGGATCCAGAGCTTTATTCTGGCCCTCAGGCCTCTGAATGCAGCACCAGCTCCCACAGAACTCCCTGAGCCCGTGGCTGCTGCTCCTTTAACCCCGGGGAGAGGGGCAGGGAAGGGGCAGGGAGGCACCAAGCAGGGACAGGAGGGGAGGGACAAAGGGACAAAGGACACCTGGATGGCCCAGGGCCCCCAGGGGTAGAGGGCATCCTTTGGATCTGCCCAATCACTCGAGGCCCTTCTGGAATGCCAGGACTGACAGGCAGTGCTGGGAGGGGCAGGAGAGGTGACTGACACACCTGGCAGGGAATTATCAGGGGAGGAGCCCGAGGTTGTGAGGTAAACCCTGACATCACCAGGCAACAGTGCCTGATGTGGAGAAATACTTCATTGAGGGGTTATTGCCATTTAACACATCTTTCACTTCTTCCATCTTTCCTGAATGGAGTGCACACACTGCACTGAATCCCATGACTGTCCCATGACAGTCCCACACACACACACACCTGGCCCTGACAGGCCAAGGAAACAAAACACCATCACCGTGGGTAAACAATCTCCATATTGCATTCTACATTGGCACAAAGACAGGCACAGCAAATGATAAGAATTGTGTTTTCCTTCTCTGAGGTTCAGAGAATGCGAATCCCAGAAATATTCTTGGGAAGAATTGTGCCCTGCTTTTCCCTGTGAAGAGAAATGTGGGGCTACACAGCGATGAGGAGGAAGCAGGAATGTTCACCTCCATCCCCAGCCTTGTCCCCCGGCCCCCTCCAGACCAAACTCATCCTGCCCCGCTCTCCCTGCCTGCAGGGGCTGTGCAGGAACTCAACCCCTCCCCATCGCCTCAAACTCACACAAGAATAACCCAACTTAAAGGGCTGAAATGCCGTTTTCCAAGGCAAAAGAGCAGGAAAAAGGCGGTTTCCCCCTGCAGCAGTCTGGGGGTGGCGGCAGCCCCGTCTCTGCTCCTGGGCAGACGATGCTGAGCCCAGCGATGCCACTTGGCATTCCTCCCACACCCGAGGAATAAACACCGCTTTGTTTTAACCCCCCTCGCTGCACAGACAAGAAGCACTCCGAGGCTTTCATAAGCTCATCTGCATCATAATGCTGGCGAATTCCTATCTGGAGTGATCTGGAGTGTCAAAACCCGGGATCCAGCCGTGAATTGCGGGGGAAGAAGCGTCGCAGGGAAAATGACACCGGGTGCGGGAGGGAGAGGAGCTGCCTGAGGGCTGCTCCCGGGCCACGAGCTTTTAAACAAATGTCTGAGAAAGAGGAGGGCGAGGAGAAAACCTGGGGTCCTGCGAGGAGAAAACCTGGGGTCCTGCGAGGAGAAAACCTGGGGTCCTGTGAGGAGAAAACCTGGGGTCCTGCGAGGAGAAAACCTGGGGTCCTGCGAGGAGAAAACCTGGGGTCCTGCGAGCAGGATTCAGGCTGCTGCCGGAGTCTCATCCCCTGAACCATGAGCAAATCCTTGTCCTGCAGCATCCACAGGGTGGCTGGGAAGCCAGGGCATCACCAGAGAGCCTGAGGGCTGCTCCCGGGCCAGGGGTTTTTAAACAAATGTCTGAGCGAGAGGAGGGAGACTGGAGAGCCGGGAGAAAACCTGGGGGTCCTGTAAGCAGGATTGAGGCTGCTGCCAGAGCCTCATCCCCCGAACCATGAGCAAATCCTTGTCCTGCAGCATCCACAGGGTGGCTGGGAAGCCAGGGCATCACCAGAGAGCCCTGTGTTGGGATGGGGCCACCCCTGCACCAACACCCACTGCATTCGGGGGGCTTTGACCTCCCCGCCCCACTGCTGGCCCCTGGGAATAGAGGCTGCACGGCAGATGTGTGATTTCTGGGGAAATTCTGATTCATGAGCAGCAGAACCTGCTAACGCCATCCCTCTCCGAGGAGGGAGCTGTGTTTTCTCTGGCATCGATAGGAACAGGGGCTGCTTTGAGCCGAAGCCTTCCTGAGCCCTCCGGGTGTGAAGCTGCAGTGAGAACTTATGCAAACACACACACGCTGTTAGCCGGCAGCTGAATTCAGCAGAAATCACCAGCTCTGCCTTCGCAAGGAAAACAAAGCCGGTGAAACGAGGCCGGGCCAATGGAACAAAAGCCCCTTGCTAACTTGGGTGAGAGCAGGAGGGCAGGCAGGGCTGCAGCGGCTGGGAGGGAGCCCTGCGGGCCATGGGGCTGGCCTGGGGCAGGGGCAGCGCTGCAGGGCCCTGCCAGGAGCTCCCGCAGCCCTTCAGCCCTTCAGCCCTTCCCTGAGCCCTTCCCCAGCGCCCTTCCTCCCCAAATCTCTTCCCCAAAGCCATTCCCCTCAGCCCTTCCTCCCCAAATCCCTTCCCCAAAGCCCTTCCTCTCCACAGCCCTTCCCCAAAATCTTTCTACCCCTCAGCCCTTGCTCCCCACAGCGCTTTCCAGAGCCCTTCCTCCCCTCAGCCCTTCCCCAAATCCCTTCCCCAAAGCCCTTCCTCCCCAAAACCCTTCCTCTCCACAGCCCTTCCTCCCCAAACCCCTTCCCCTCAGCCCTTCCTCCCCAAATCCCTTCCCCAAATCCCTTCCCCAAACCCCTTCCCCTCAGCCCTTCCTCCCCAAATCCCTTCCCCAAACCCCTTCCCCTCCACAGCCCTTCCCCAAATCCCTTCCTCCCCAAACCCTTCCTCCCCAATTCCCTTCCCCAAATCCCTTCCCCAAACCCTTTCCCCACAGCCCTACCTCCCCAAATCCCTTCCCCAAATCCCTTCCTCCCCAAACCCCTTCCCCTCAGCCCTTCCTCCCCAAATCCCTTCCCCAAACCCCTTCCCCTCCACAGCCCTTCCCCACAGCCCTTCCTCCCCACATCCCGTCCAAATCGCTCCTTGGCAGGAGGGGGAGACCAAGGCCTGCAGTTATTGATTTATTCCAGTTATTTTAAGAGATTTACTGGAAAGCACCGAGGAGGAGGCAGCGGGGCAGCGCTGGGCTCAGCTGGCACACAGCCTTTCTTTGCTCCCCGCGGATCTGTGCCACCAACAAGCCCCTGGCTGCTGGCAGCGCTTGGCCATTTCTGTTCCGAGCCGCCTGCTGCATCCTCTGGCAGCGTCCAGTTGTTGTTTGGGATTTTTCCCTCCGCCCCCGCTGCGTTTCACAGCGTTCAGCTGGAACTGGGGAGGGGGCTCCGGGCAGGGACATTCACCTGCAGCAAAGCCGAGGAGTTCGGGCAGAGAAGGAGCCCCCGAGCTCCAAGCAGCCCTGCGGGGGCTCTCAGCTCCACCAGAGCCGTGTCAGGATCTCTGCTGGTCAGAGTGACTTCGAGAAAAGCTGGAAAGTCTCTTTTCCCCAGCCCGGCGCCTGAAGAAAGAGTCAGGGCTCTTCATTTCTCGGTCTCAGGGTTGTTTGTTGTATCTTATCTATAAAAACCTTTCTTTTGTTTTGCTGAGTCAGTCAGAGCACTCTGCCTGCCCCCGGGGCAGTGTTATGTTTTTATACTAAAAACTATGTGTACAATGTTTACAATTACTTTCTAATACTCATCACTTATTTTAGACAGTGAGCTTCTACTCTAAATTAATCTGGAAGTGCCAACATCACAGCAGAAGATGGAGGCTAAGAAGAAGGAGAAAGGGTGGACACGCTTAGATTCTTCTATTTTGTTTTTCTGAATTTCTATTCTAAAAACTTCAAAAATCTACTTTTTTACTTTGTGATAAATTCACTGTCATTCTACTTAATTTCTCATGGCTTGCAGATCTTCATCTAAGCTTGGTAACTTGCTCTACGGGTCATAATTAAAAACCACAGGGGCATTTTGGGCTCTGTGCCAGGGTCTCTGAGCCCCCTGGCTGGGGTCTTGGCCATCCAGGACAGCCAGAGGGATCCCTGGCTCCTGACAGGTCAGGGTTCCTCCGGACAGCTCCCCCGGGCCGTGTGCCAGAGTTACTCAGCCACCTTTTGTCGCCTTTCCATCCTACTACATATTTATCAGCCTCATTTGCATGGCCTTTGCATAAACCGCTGCAGGAGTGTCTCTCTTGAAGGCAAGCTGAAGTATGCATCTCCATAATTCTGCCGGCATTTTGACTTCCCAGGACAGAGCCTTTGTTTTATGCCATTGCCAGCAAATTCCTGCTCGGGTGGGCTCAGGTTTCCAGTGCACCATTAGCACACAGCCGTTCCCATCCACAGCTCCAGAGAATTTCCCTGTTCCCTTCCAAGTCCAAACAGCAGCAGCCCGGATCCTGTTGGGAATCCTCCATCTTATTTAGATGCCTGAACACAGTTGGGATGAAAACCTTTTTTAAAAGCTCCAGGACCAAGGCTCTGCCACCAGAGCTCAGGGATGTGGCCATTCCTTATCCAGGTGCTCCTTTTCTGACTCCTCACAGCTCCACGGAGTGAGAGAAAATACAGTTTTGATTCCAGACCCTAATTAGGCCTCAGGAAAGGAGATCATGTGCTCACCAAAGGGTCCCAGCATCAATCCCAGCTTTGGCAGGGTTCACTTGTGGCTCCCAAGATGGTTCTGAGGAGGGAGGAGGGTCCATCCCCCCACGATGTTTCCAGTGGGAATGGGAGAAAAACTCTCATCACATGGGCAGAAGGGGCAGGAGGAGGTTTATAAAAAGTTTCCATTTCTTGGTGTGAGGCAGCCATTTCTGCATCATTCCCACCACCTTCCACAGCACTGCTGGGACAGAGCCCCTCGTGGTTCCCAAGATGATGCTGAGGAGGGAGGAGGGTCCATCCCCCCACGATGTTTCCAGTGGGAATGGGGGAAAGACTCTCATCACATGGGCAGAACAGGCAGGAGAAAATTCATAAAAAGTTTTAATTTCTTGGTGTGAAGCAGCCATTTCTGTATCACATCCCCAACATCTTGCACAGCACTGCTGGGACAGAGCCCTGTGTGCCCAGGGCAGGCAGTGCAGGAGCCTGGGATGAGGACACCAGGTCAGGGGAATTGATTTCACAATCCTGGAAGAGCAAAAACCCCACAGCAACAATCTCATCGGATGTTCCTGCAAATACATCCGTGTCCATTAGGCTGCTGGGCTGCCTGGAGTGCTGGCTGAGTGCTCCCGCCGGGATCGATGCTCCCCGCCCTTAAAAACCCACTAATCACCCTGATTTATGGGTAACATGCCTCGGCGGCACCCGGAGGCCTGTGCTTGTTCCGAGGGGAGGGTTTAAACCCTTCCTGCTTTTTAGTGCTTTTTGGTTGAGAGAAATCTGTGGCTGCTGCCTGCCCCACAGTGCTGGAGCAGATTGCTGGGGGCTGGGGATGCAGCTCCTGGGGCAGGGATTCCATGAGCACCCAAGTTTTGGCAGTGTCCAGCACCGTGGCAGCTCCAAGGTGCAATATCTGTGCTGTAATTGCACTCTTGAGCATCTTCTCTGCCCAGCAGGGTTTGGCTCATAGAAGCAAGTCTGGCTGCTCTGTGGTGTCCTGGGGCTGAGGGGTCTCAGAGCTGCATCCAGCCAAGCCAGGGAGCTGAAAATCCCTCCCTGCCTGTGCCAGGGAGCTGCAGCACAGACAAGGCCTCTCCAGCAGCCAGCAGCATCCCCTCTCTGGGCACTGGGAGTGGGAGCAGCATCACTGAACCAGGGCATCTCCCTGGTGATAGAAATGAGAGCAGGATCCCGGTACTAAAGTGATTTCAGCATCTATTATAAGAAAAAGAAAGGCCTAAAGCAAGGGTGATTTTCAGCATTTATTACAAAAAAAAAGAGAGGTCTAAAGCAAGGGGCCCTGGGCTGAGCAGGAGCAGTCCCGTCCACCGGGGCTGGGTTTTCTTTTCAGCAGCAATGGCCCCGATGTCCCAGATGGAGCAGCACAATTCAGTGGGTCAGGAGCCCCTTTTTATCCTGTTTTTTGTGCCTTTGGATTGGTTTCTGTTTGGATCCTTCATTTGCATGAAGGTTTTAGGCCTTGATTGCCCATGACAGTTCTGTCCAGGCTGGCTCGTGGTGCACTGTACTGAGGTGTGTGATGGTACCTTGAGTACTGGATTTCCCTTTTAACCTCTTTTACCATATAACAACCAAACTAACAGCACATGCTTAGCGATCCATCAACTATTTAACAACACTTTCGAACTTATTTTTAACCCTGGGGCGCTGAGGAGCATCTCCAGGAGCATTGGGAAGAATCTCCACGGGGTGCTGCCTGCAGCCTGATGAGCACGGGCTCAGCCCTGCTCTGCTCAGCTAATCAAAAGGAGCTGAAGTGCCTCCCTGATTGCAGTGAGTAAGTGCCTCGGTGGGCAGCAAATGCCGGGCACTGGAGAGCTCTTCAATCACACCACAAAATAGATGGCACAGCCAGAGCCTGCAGCCAGGAGCACTCAGGGGTTGCCTGGGGACCAGCGCATGCTTGTGAGAGAGGATTGTCACCACATTGCTCTTCACAGAGAGAAGCAAGGCACAATTCTTCCCGAGAATACTTCTGGGTTTCTCTGAACTCAGAGAAATTCTTATAATTTGCTGTACCTGTGTTTGTACGAAAGCAAAATGCAATATGAAAAATTGTTTACCCGAAGTGATGGTGTTTTATTTCCTCGGCCTATCAGGGCCAAGTGTGTGTTTGAGTCAAAACTATCAGCTAACAGTCACAAGATGTTGTGCAATTGTGTGCAGTCGAGTGCTTAGCAGACTCGGTTTAGATATAATGTAACATAGTATAATATAATATAGTGTAATATAATATAATAAAGTAATTAACCTTCTGATAAAATAGAGTCAGATACATCCTTCTCTCCCTTCGTCAGGGGTGTCATGCAAATGCAATAGAGGATGATGAGGAAGGAGGAAGAGGGAGGAGTAACTCCATCTCTGGCTGTTGTGAGGGGCTGCAGGAGAGACCCATCAGCCAGGCTGAGGCACAACGGCCTCGTGGTGTTTCTGGTCCTCAAATCTGTGAACCCACAGTGTTTTCAAAGCATTTCCTGTATTTAAGGAGAGAGCTGCTCTGGAGTGCTTCCCTGGATGCTTTACTCATGTCCTGTAAATAATGCATTAGTTTCACTTAGAGGAGGGAAAGCAGCCCAGGTTTGTATTACTGCTGGGGCTGCAGACAGAACACAGCATCTCCCCCTCTCCGGGCTCCTTCCTCGCCACAAACTCCTCGTTCCTAATTTCCCTTTTCCTATTTAATGAGCTGGTAAGCACAGGGATGATGCCTGGCTCACAGTGCCCTGTGCATTAGGCAGAGATGATCCCATTAGGAGCAGTCTGGCGAGCCTGGCTGGATACCTCCCGTCCTGCCCGGGGCTGGGGCCAGGCTCCCTGGGACCCCCTGCCTTCCCCCAGGGCATGGAAACTCTCCTGGAGGGAGCAGTGCAGGCAGCCCCACAGCAGGGGCTGTGAAAAATGCACGTATTTTATGATTGGCTTTTGGCAAATATTGAAATTAATATTATATGTGTTGTGTTAGAAGTTATGCTGTATTAATTCTCTTAAGTAGTGTGTTAAATATAGTTTTAGGTTATAAAAATTGTTAAAGTAGAAACGATGCTATGTAGGATACTTTTTTTAAAGAAAGGACTCACAGAGAAATAGCAGCCACAGGACACCTGAATCTTTCAGAGAAAAAGAATTTATTGCTCCATTATCAGGAGAAACGAACTTCTTCCCACCTCGAAGGCGCTGTTAGGATTCGAAGGAAGAAGTTGATGATCAGCAGACAGAATCCTGTGTTTGAATGGAATTTATGCATCATGGATGAGGTGTATGAATATGCAACAGGCTATTGTTTTTAAGGGTTAATCCTCTGTTAACTGGGTCCTTTTTCGGGGCTCGTGCTGCCCAGAAAAAGGTACCCAGATTTCCGTAACTCTTTGTTTCTATTGTCTCATATTGTCCTAATTCAAATTGTTACTCTAACTGTATAACTATTTTTATAACCGTTTTATTACTATTAAACTTTTAAAACTTTCAAAACAAGCGATTGGCGTTTTTCACAGGGACCATGCTGGTTCATGCCAGCCCTTTCCTGGGATGGATCTGCATGCTCTGCCATGCTCCGAGCAGGTTTGCAAAACAGAGCTTCACCTGGGAGATGGACAAGCTTCCAGAAGTGTGGGTCGTGCTCCAGGGAAAAGAATGTTTTCAGCTGTCTGCTGGTGAAGCAAAGAGAAGGGAAAACAAGTCCTGCTGTTGGAACCCACGACCTCCTGGTCCAGGGGTCAGGACGTGGCAGCTCATCAGCTCCCAGCTGCCAGAGGCACGGCAGGTACTGGGGTGTCACAGCCTCACTGTTCAATAATTCATCAGAAAAGGCCAAGCAGAGGCAAGTGCTGGGAGCAGCCCAGTGGTGGGAATACGTGAGCAGCCTCAGGAGGGCCAGGCTGCAG